ATATGTGTATGTATATGAGCAGAACTGACTCAAAGATGTTGGAGTAAGTTTCAATCACACCCTCTGCTGACAAGCTTCATTTCATTAATGCACCCCCCCCCCCCACACACACACACGCACACATTACTTTCTGTCTCTTCATTCTTAACAGTCTCTGGATTTCCTACTCCATCCTCGCCACCATCACCCCCCTCTGCTCCGTCTTTCTCTCTCCTGGCATGTTGTGACAGGGTGTAGCAGTGTATTATACAGAGTTCCACTCACCAAGTGCATATTATCCTGTAAGGCATAATACCCAGGTTGGAGGAAAGGGCAGGCTTTGAAATTACAGCTTACGTCGCTTAGCACTCAGCACAACAGTCTGACTCACATGAAAACACGTGTGTGAACTTTATGATTGTAACTGGCTGGTGCTGTCGTATGTGTCAGTGTATTCTAAAATATGATAACTTAGTTACAAACACTAAGGCTGTAATGCCTCTTCAAAGGCATATTTTAAGTATACGAAAAACGTTGTTCACTAGTCGGATGAGAACTCTCTAAGTAATAGCAAATAATTACTTTTACTATTGCCATCCTAACTTTCTTTATTATTAAACTGACACTTTGTCTTTTGACTCCCAATACCAGTATGTATCTAGTCATTTTTGCAATTAAAAATCCATCCATCCATCCATCCATTATCTTTACCCGCTTATTCCATTTTGGGTCACGGGGGTCGCCGGTGCACATGTCCAGCAATCACTGTGCGAGGGGCTGGGTACACCCTGGATGGGTCGCAAGTCCATCACAGGGACACATAGAGACAAATGAGACAAACAACCATTCACTCTCTCACTCACACCTAGGGACAATTTAGAGTTACCAATCAGCCTAACATGCATGTTTTTGGTCTGTGGGAGGAAACTGGAGTACCCGGAGAAAACCCACGCATGCACGGAGAGAACATGCAAACTCCACCCAGAAAGGCCCCTGGACCGGGGTTTGAACCAAGGACCTGCTCGCTGAGAGGCAGCAGCTCTACCAGTTGTGCCACCGTGCTGCCAACGCAATTAAAAATACTTAACTTTATTTATTTTGATATATTTTATATATTTTTTCTTATATGTTTATTATATTTATTTAGTTTGTGTCTGCAATAAAACGACGTAGTCGTAGATAGTCAGGAAAACATTATGAAGTTGTAAATTTTAAAAGAAAATTTACTGATGTAGATAAAATATACAAAATTTCATATTAAGCTGGCAAACAAGGAAAGGTTTATTTACATCTTCTTTTAAACCCAAATATTTCATGCCTTTGTTTGTAAATTTAAAATATATATTTTTATGCAGATCAGGCTTGAACCCAAGCAGAGGAGGAATTTAATGCAGGCTTGGCATTTTGTGCAATGTTGCAGCAAATTCATACTTTACAAGAATCAAGTTTTTTAAAGCATATTAAGAATAGAGGGAGTGGTGGCGCAGAGGTTAGAGAAGGTGGGCCTGTGATCGGAAGATTGCTGGATCAAGCCCCTGTACCGACATCATCAAAAATGTGGGTGGGGTAGGCGAAGCACCCACACCTGCCCCCACCCTCATTCACCCCACTCTGTGCCCATGAGCAAGGCCCTTAACCCCCACCATGTGCTCCCTAAACAGGTCTCTCTTGAAAATGAGTTCTCGTGGCTCAATGAGACTACCTGGATAAATAAAGGCTAAATGAAAAAAAAATAATAATACTTTTTCTGCTTTTATCAAACTGGTTGAAGTCTGGAAAGTGTTTGATTGCTGATCATATATATTTCAGCAACAGGCTGGCGCACAACCTGTTGTGTTTCTCTGCTCCGCTGTGACATTCTCAGAAAAAAAAGGAGGGGTGTCGGCCGGGGTGTGTGTAAGGGGGTGTCTGTCTTTTACCTGTGTGAGCTGCACTAGCAGCATGGATTGTTTATTTGAAATAATCAAGCGCGATCCCAACCAAGCCTTTATTCTCCCTCAGCGATCACTGAGCGGGCCAGGCCACTGGGAAATATCCCGGTGCTCCCCCTCAGCACAATGTTCTGGTTGGTCGCCTTCCATAGATCAGCCAATCAATTGTGTGTTGTGCACAATCTTACGTTGAAAACCTGCAAAAGGGTGAGTCCGCGAAAGTCGAAATGCAAAATATTGAGTGACTCAAAAGTCATTCTCTCTCCATGACCTGCAGCCTTGGCAATGATAGATGGATGGATGGATGGATGGATGGATGGATGGATGGATGGATGGAT